AACAACAGGTGTAGACAAACAGGGAAGTGCTTATTTACGGCCCTTCCCAACAATGCAGAGATAATTTTTTTTAAAATAATATGAAGATAATACAACGAGGAATAAATACACAATGAGTAATGATAATTTAGCTATATACACAGGGTAGCAGTACCAAGTTGATGTGCAGGGGTACGAGGTAATTGAGGTAGATACACTATATATACAAAAGTGTGTGAACACCCCTTCGGCTATTTCAGCCACACCCGTTGCTGACAGGTGTATAAAATCGAGCCCATAGCCATGCAATCTCCATAGACGAACATTGGCAGTAGAATGGCCTTACTGAAGAGCTCAGGGACTTTCAACATGGCACCGTCATAGGATGCCACCTTTCCAACAAGTCAGTTCGTCAAATTTCTGCCCTGCTAGAGGTGCCCCAGTCATCTGTAAGTGTTGTTATTGTGGTGTGGAAACGTCTAGGAGCAATACAAGACCCTGACACAAGCACACAGAACGGGACTGCCGAGTGCTAAAGCGCGTAGCGCATAAAAATCGTCTGTCCTCGGTTGCAACATTCACTACCGAGTTCCAAACTGCCTCTTGAAGCAACGTCAGCACAATAACTGTTCGTCGGGAGCTTCATGGAATGGGTTTCCATGGCCGAGCAGCCGCACACAAGCCTAAGATCAACATGCTCAATGCCAAGCGTTGGCTGGAGTGGTTTAAAGCTCGCCACCATTGAACTCTGTAGCAGTGGAAATGCATTCTCTGAAGTGATGAATTACGCTTCACCATCTGGCAGTCCGACGGACAAATCTGGGTTTGGAGGATGCCAGGAGAACAGAGGTTACGTATGTAACCACGGTTATGTGAACTATATGGATCACTCAAATATATTGGTATCACTCCGCGGCGGAGGGATACATCCGAGGTGAGGATTTACAGATTTACTCCCATGTACACCTGTGTCACGGCTGGGGTCCGCCCCTATATATAGACCCCATGGCTGCGACACACGTTCTCTACATCATTTTTGAGGCGCCTCTAGCACCTAGAGGATTGGAGTGATCCATATAGCGCACATGACCGTGGTTACATACATAACCTTCGTTATGTTTCACTATATTGGATCACTCCAATATATTGGTATACCCGTACCAGATTTAGTCGGTGCTAGAGGTACCTGGCCAGCCAGCGGCGAAGTCCCAGCGCGGAACCGAGACGCAGGGGCCATCAATGTGGAATGGGGGTCCTGGCACAGTCCCCGGAAGGGGAGGCGATGCCCAGGACCGCTGAACCAACCGCAGAGGGAGGTGCCACATTTACCTGATAGTACCTAGCAAAGGTGCAAGAGGAAGGCCATCGAGGGGCACTCCTCTCAGTAGAGCCCAGGACGCAGCCACACCTCGTGTTGAATGTGCCACCACAGATCCCAGCACTGGCCTACCAGCCAGGCGGTATGCTGTCATAATCGTGTCCACGATCCAGTGAGAGAGCCTCTGCTTTGATAGCCCAGCCCCCAGGACTCTCTCACCATAGCAGACAAAGAGCTGGTCTGTTGTTCTCACTGACTGTGTCCGCTCCACATAGGCAGCCAGTGCCTGCACAGGGCACAGCATGCCGGAGGGAGGCCCAGACTCCCCCGCCACTGCCGGGGGGTCGTAAGCAGACAGGATAAAAGGGATGTTCACATGCCTGTCTGACAGAACCTTCGGGAGGAATGAAGGGTTGGGGCGGAGAGATATACTCCTCCCACCGGGGTCCATCCAGTAGCACTCAGAACTTACAGAAAAAGCATGGAGCTCACCCACCCTCTTCATGGAAGTAATCGCTACCAAGAAAACCACCTTCATAGAGAGGTGTTTCAGGGAGGCAGACTCCAACGGTTCGAAAGTCAGCTTTGCCAAAGCTGCCAAGACCACATCCAGATCCACACTCGCCATTGAGAGGGTCCTAGCTGGACGCAGGCGACGAACTCCCTTCATAAACCTGGAGACCAAGGGATGGCGCCCCACTGGCCTGTCCATCCACCCCACATGGCAGGCAGATATTGCGGCCAAATACCCTCTCTGTGCAGAGGCTGCCAAGCCCTCATCCAAGCGAGACTGCAGGTATTGGAGGACATACTGCACCCCGCATGACTCGGGCACAACCTCAATACCAGTGCACCAAGAGCAAAACAACCGCCAGCGCAACTGGTATGCCGCGGTTGTAGCCGGTGCCCTTGCGCTCTGCATGGTGTTCATTACGCCCTCCTGTAGTCCTAACATGGACCATTGGTGCCGTTCAGCGGCCAAGCCCACAGACTGAGGCGGTGCGGTCTCAGATGCCACAGAGTTCCCCCGGCCTGAGACAGCCGGTCGGGTCTCAGGGGCAGTTGCCAAGGTGTCCCAGACAACAGGGACAGGAGAAGGCTGAACCAGAGTCGTCTGGGTCAGTATGGGGCCACCAGCAGCAGACAATGCTCCGCCATCCTGGTCCTGTCCAGCACAGCCTGGATCAGGGGAAAAGGGGGGAATGCGTAAAGCTCCAGCCCTGGCCAATCTTGAGCCAGAGCATCCAAGCCCAAAGGCCCTGGTGGCTCCGACATGGAGTAGCACAGGGGGCAGTGTGCATTGCCCAGGGAGGCAAACAGGTCCACCTGCGCCCTCCCGAACTTGTCCCACAGGTGCTGCACCACCTGGAAATGTAGGCTACAGTCCCAAGGTGGCGGGCCCTCCCTCGAGAGCATATCCGCTGCCACATTCAGGATGCCAGGACGTGCGCTGTGGGTAGAGACGCTTGACGTCTCTGAGCCCAGAGAAGGAGCTCCCGTGGCATTAGATGGAGACGGTGGGACCTCAGTCCGCCCTGAAGGTTGATGTAAGCCACCACTGTGGTGTTGTCTGTTCTCATCAGGACGTGTCGTCCCTTCAGATGTGGAAGGAAAGACCGCAGGGCCAGCAGTACAGCTTGGAGCTTTAGTGTATTGATGTGCCTGCCGCTCCAAGGGGTAGCCAACAGCCGCTGGCCGACCTACCCTTGGTCACACCCCCCCAGCCGATCTGGGAGGCGTCTGTGCTGACCAGCTCCCGGCGGCACATCCTTAGCATCTCCACCCCACCTGAGAGAACGGAGCGACAGCGCCACCTCAACAATGTCCTGAGGCACTGTGCGGTCACCCGCAGCTGGCGGTGATGGTGGCGCCATGGATGCAGCCGGTGGGAGTTGAACCACTGTTGAAGAGGCCGGAGATGGAGCAGGCCCAGGGGAATCAGCAACGAGGCCGCCGTTAGCAAGCCCAACAGGCGTTAGCAGGTCAGGGCGGATACCACCCGCCCCTGCCGAAAGTGGTTGAGGCAAGATAAGATCGCCTGAACCCTTCTGGTGGGCAGGCGTGCTATCATGAGGACTGAGTCCAGTTCCATGCCAATGACGGCCACGCTTCCTGGGAGGGGTACTGGGCCCAGTAGAGGGACTAACAGCTTGCTGGCGCACCACTCCTGAGGGAGGGAGCTCGTCCATGTCAGACGACTCTTCTTGTCATTTACAGTAATGCCCAGCCCGCCAATGTGGGTCAGGAGCGTGTCTCTGTCTGATAGGACCTGGGTCCTGGTCGGAGCACAAATCAGCCAATCGTCCAGGTAATTGAGGATCAACAATCCTTGGGACGTGAGAGGTGCCAGGACAGCGTCCATGCACTTTGTGAAAGTGCGGGGTGCCACGGAGAGGCTGAAGGGAAGAACCATGAATTCGTAAGCTGTCTCTTTGAAAGTGAATTGGAGGTACTGCCAATGAGCTGGGTGAACAGGAACATGGAAGTACACATCCCTCAGGTCCAGCGTCACAAACCACTGGTCCCTGGACACGGCCTGCACCTATGGCAGTGACAGTTGACAGGTTGTTGCTTCACCTCCCTCAGCATGAGGCGATGGGGCAGGAGAGGGACCCCCCCCCCCCCACCTGGGGTGATGGTGACAGTGGCAAATGTGCTCTGGAGAGCAGTTGGCAGACGGGATTGGGCCAGTCAAAGATGGCGCCGGGAGGTAACCACCTGCACCATGGCCCATCCGTTGGGGCAGGCCACCTCCCTCTGGAGCATGGAAAGCAGGCGAGACACCTCCATCGCTTCCCGGAGGAGCTCCTCTGTGCCCTCCTGCAGCCGGGGCAACAGAGTCTGCAAGTAGGCCTGCAGCAGCATGGCCGCGTTGGTATGGCGGCCAAGAGAGCAAAGGGACCCATATCTGGCTTTCAAGTCTGCATCAAAGACTCTGGGGGGTCCCGTCTTCAGTCGCGGATTCTGCCCTATAATCTCCCGGTCCATGATAGCTATCATGGTGTCCATGGTCGGGTACTCCCGGAGACCGAGTGACTCCGCGCCTGCAACATAACTCCATGGTCCAGTCTCTGCTGTGAGTCGGAAGAGCCCCCTGGCAGAGGCCTAGCTCTCCTGCAAGGCCTCGCAGAAGTCAGCAGAGATGGGGACAGATGGAGAGTCATCACTGTCCACCAGTTTAATGTCCAGTGCAGTGGCTACCCGAGTGAGTAGGCTCCTCATAGCCTCTCGAGCCGCTGGAGGCGATGAAGCCCTGCTGATAGCCTGTCAGCCTGGTAGCCCCGTTCACGGTGGTGAACAGTGCCAGCATCGTCCCCCAGGAACAGGGAACAGCTGTCGTCGCCACCGAAGCTATAAACCTCCTGATGCAGGGCATGCACCCTCCGTTCAAGTTGGTCCCAGCGGTCCGACTCTGCCCCCGTCCAGGACTGGCAGCAGATGGGCTCTGCCTGCGGTGGCTCCGGCCACTCTTCCTGGGAGGGGTACTGGGCCCAGTAGAGGGACTAACAGCTTGCTGGCGCACCACTCCTGAGGGAGGGAGCTCGTCCCCAGCCTGAGCCCGAGCCTGGCCGACCCACTCGTGCATGGCCTCCAATCGCGCCAGGCGCAGGCGTTCTGAGAACACCACACAAAACAGGTATCCAGTAGGACGCTCCACCGCCCTCTCCGCATGGCTCAAACCCAGGCAGTGCATACACGAGGTATGCGGATCCCCAGGGGGGATGCCACCATCACACCTGTCACAAAGGGAAGCCATAAACTCAGCCAAGCCAACAAGGCCATGGAGCAGGGGTCCGACACCCTGGGAGAGCTTATGTCGTGACCCGCTCTGAGGAATAGGAACCCGGTGAGGGATACATTTCCCAGTACCTCTGGGAAAAAAACGGGAAGACCTGTGTGGGAAAAACAGGCAGACAGAAAAAACAGCAACCAGGTAATGGATTTGATTTATTTGTGTTTTTGTTTTACGCCAACTGCAATATTAACTAGCTGGTTTAATATCCAAGCAGCAAAAACAGCACCATATGATGGAGTAACTCCGTTAAGGAACTCCAAAGTTAATGTCTCACGTAGTGGAAAGCCCACCATGATACTCTTACACTCTGCAAGGGAAAAAACAAGAAAAACCCTGCAGGGTAATTAGCAGAGAACTCGTGCAGTAGGCGCGGGTAGCAGCATGTTAAAGCAATTCACAACACACACATAGAACAAGCCAGTCGGCAAGTTGTGTAAGGTCAATTACAGTTTGTGCAGCAAGAGCCACCATACTAATGGATGCACACAGAGTCGTAGTGTAACGCTAACGAAACACAAGTACGACAAACCATGGGCGGAAGATACAGATCAACCGCGCGCAGCGAGTGGAGCACTCAAGAGGAGGGGCTGGACATGTGGCCAGCTGCTCCAGGCTGCAAACAGCCAGTGAATATACTTCCACAGAAGATATTACACTTAACAGTGACTTACCAAGCGAACTTCAGAAAATGTGTACCTCGAACCATATGGACGTCCGCCGAGAAAATGAAAGAGAACGTGTGTCACGGTCATGGGGTCTATATATAGGGGCGGACCCCAGCCAGACACAGGTGTACACGGGAGTAAATCTGTAAATCCTCACCTCGGATGTATCCCTCCGCGCGGAGTGATACCAATATATTGGAGTGATCCAATATAGTTAAACATATCGCTACCTGCCGCAATGCATAGTGCCAAATGTAAAGTTTGGTGGAGGAAGAATAATGGTCTGAGGCTATTTTTCATGGTTCGGGCTAGGCCCCTTAGTTCCAGTGAAGGGAAATCTTAACGCTACAGCATACAATGACATTCTAGACAATTCTGTGCTTCCAACTTTGTGACAACAGTTTGGGGAAGGCCCTTTCCTGTTTAAGCATGACAATGCCCCAATGCACAAAGGTCCATACAGAAATGGTTTGTTTAGATCAGTGTGGAAGAACTTGACTGGCCTGCACAGAGCCCTGACCTCAACCCCATCGAACTCCTTTGGGATGAATTGGAATGCTGACTGCGAGCCACGCCTAATCGGCCAACATCAGTGGCCGACCTCACTAATGCTCTTGTGGCTGAATGGAAGAAAGTCCCCGCAGCAATGTTCCAACATGCTGCCAGCTCTTAGCAAACTGTTGGAAAAAATTGTGTTTGTCCAAATACAATGCTATTTCTCTGTAAACAAATTAACAACAGACTTTCAACATGCTTATAGGGAAGGGCACTCAACATGTACTGCATTACACAAATTACTGATGAAGACTGAAGAAATTGATAATAAAAAGATTGTGGGAGCTGTACTGTTAGATTTCAGTGCAGCCTTTGATATTATTGACCATAACCTGTTGTTGAAAAAACATATGTGTTATGGCTTTTCAACCTCTGCCATATCGTGGATTCAGAGCTATCTATCTAATAGAACTCAGAGTTTTCTTTTAATGGAAGCTTCTCTAATGTCAAACATGTAAAGTGTGGTGTACCACAGGGCAACTCTCTAGGCCCTCTACTCTTTTCTATTTTTACCAATGACCTGCCACTGGCATTAAACAAAGCATGTGTGTCCATGTATGCTGATGATTCAACCATATACGCATCAGCAACCACAGCTAATGAAGTCACTGAAACCCTTAACAAAGAATGGCAGTCTGTTTTGGAATGGGTGGCGACTAATAAACTGGTCCTGAACATCTCTAAAACTAAGAGCATTGTATTTGGTACAAATTATTCCCTAAGTTCTAGACCTCAGTTGAATCTGGTAATGAATGGTGTGGCTGTTGAACAAGTTGAGAAGACTAAATTCTGCAGGCTCTAGTTTTGTCTAATCTTGATTATTGTCCAGTGTTGTGGTCCAGTGCTGCAAGGAAATACCTAGTTAAGCTGCAGCTGGTCCAAAACAGAGCAGCACGTCTTGCTCTTCATTGTAATCAGAAGGCTGATATAAAGACTATGCATGCATGTCTCTCTTGGCTAAGAGTTGAGGAGAGACTGACTGCATCACTTTTTATTTTTATAAGAAACATCAATGTGTTGAAAATCCCAAATTGTTTGCATAGTCAACTTACACACAGCTCTGACACACACACTTACCCCACCAGACATGCCACCAGGGGTCTTTTCACAGTCCCCAAATCCAGAACAAATTCAATAAAGCGTACAGTATTATATAGAGCCATTAATGCGTGGAACTCGGTTCCATCTCATATTGCTCAAATAAACAGCAAACCTGGTTTAAAAAAACAGATAAAGCAACACCTCACGGCACAATGCCTCTCCCCTATTTGACCTAGATAGTTGGTGTGTATGTATTGAAATGTAGGCTACGTGTGCCTTTTAAAAAAAGGTATGTAGTTCTGTCCTTGAGCTGTTCTTGTCTATTAATGTTCTGTATTATGTCATGTTTCATGTTTTGTGTGGACCCCAGGAAGAGTAGCTGCTGCTTTTGCAACAGCTAATGGGGATCCTAATAAAATACCAAATACCAAATCTAGTGGCAAGCCTTCCCAGAAGAGTGGAGGCTGTTATAGCAGCAAAGGGTGGGCCAACTCCATATTAATGGCCATGATTTTGTAATGAGAGTGTATGTACATATAGGTAGGGGTTGAGTGACTAGGCAACAGGATAGATAATAGGCAGTAGCAGCAGCATATGTGATGAGTCAAAAGAGTTAGTGCAAAGGGGGGTCAATGCAGATAATCCGGGTAGCTATTTGGTTAACTATTTAACAGTGTTATGGCATGGGGCTTGAAGCTGTTCACGGACATGTTGGTTCCAGACTTGGTGCATCGGTACTGCTTGCCGTGCGGTAGCAGAGAGAACAGTCTATGACTTGGGTGGCTGGAGTCTTTCACAATTTTTAGGGCCTTCCTCTGACACCACCTGGTATAGAGTTCCTGGATGGCAGGGAGCTCGGCCCCAGTGATGTACTTGGCCGTACGGACTACCCTCTGTAGCGCCTTGCGGTCAGATGCCAAGCAGTTGCCATACCAAGTGCTGATGCAGCCAGCCAAAGCCAATGGTGACAGCTAGTCTTCCTGGGGTCCGACACATAACGAGAAAAACATGAAACTAAAATACTCAACAATTTACATATTTAAAAAATCATTGACATAGACATTACAACTATGTCAGATAGGGGAGAGGCATTGTGTTGTGAGGTGTTGTTTTATTTGTTTTTTAATGCTAATTTTGCTGTTTGCTGGAGTAATTTCAGATGGAGTTGATTTCCATGTGATCATGGCTCTATATAATACTGTGCGTTGCCTTGGATTTGGGGACTGTGAAGAGGCTCCTAGTGGCATGTCTGGTGGGTTAAGTATGTATTTCAGAGCTATATGTAAATTGATTATGCAGACAATTTGGAAATGTCAATACAATAATATTTCTCACAAGAATTGATTAGTTCTGTATGTGCAGTTAAGGGCAAAGCGTGCTGCTCTGTTTTGAGCCAGCTGCAGCATTTCTAGGTCTTTCTTTGCTGCACTTGACCATCTTACCGGACAGTAATCAAGATGGGACAAGAGCCTGAACAACTAGTACAGTTGATTTTTGTGTCAAAAACGCAGAACATCTTTTTTTATAACAGACATTCCCCTTCCCATCTTCACAACTTCTTTGTCAATATGACTTGACCATGATAATTGACCATCCAATGTTATACCTAGGCGTTTAGCTTCCTCATCTTGCTCAATGGTCAACCCATTTCTACACAACTCCAGTTGAGGTTTAGGTCTTAGAGAATGTTTTGAACCAAATACAATGCTTTTAGTTTTAGATGTATTTAAGAGCAGTTTATTATTAATCACCCATTCTGACACTGACTGTAACTCCTTATTTAGAATTTCAGAGAGCTCACTGGCTTTGGGTGCTGACATGTAGAGTGTGGAATCATCTGCATACATAGTCATTCTACACTGAACAAAAATATAAACGCAACATGCAAGAATTTCAAAGAATTTAGCCTTTGGTCTTTGTTATGGTAGCAACGTAGGCTAACGCTGGTACTCAGCGCAATTCCAGCCAGCACAGCTCACAGACTGTCAAGGAAACCTGGCTAGTTTTATAGCTAGCAGCTAGGCTAACTGATCGCCAAGCAGCAGCTTTTCAGATTTTAGGGTTTGGCATTATCCCGGGACAGATAGTAGTGGTCCCATCAACTGAGCATAACCACGTTGCGGGATCTAAATTAAACAGGTAGGCTAGTAAAAAAATGTCATGAAACTTTCAAAAACAACAAACCGAGCTCTCTAGTTCCGTGTTCAGCATGCTTTGTGCTCTGATGACGTTGTACATATGCTTAGTGATGTGGACACGAGGACTTGAAGCTCTCGACCCACTCCACTACAGTTCTGTCGATGTGGATGGGGTTGTGCTCGGACCTCCGTTTCCTGTAGTCCACGATCAGCTCCTTTGTCTTGCTGACGTTGTGGGAAAGGTTGATGTCCTGGCACCACACTGCCAGGTCACTGACCTCCTCCCTAAAGGCTGTCTCATCGTCATTGGTGATCAGGCCTACCACCGTCGTGTTGTCAGCAAACTTAATGATGGAGCTGGGTGAACAGGGAGTACAGGAGGGGACTAAGCACGCACCCCTGAGGGGCCCCGTGTTGAGGGTCAGCGTGGCGGATGTGTTGTTGCCTACCCTTACCACCTGGGGGCGGCCCGTCAGGAAATCCAGGATCCAGTTGGAGGGAGGTGTTCAGTCCCAGAGTCCGGGGCTTAGTGATGAGCTTGGTCGCACAGCAAAATATTTAGTTGCATATGCAACCAAATTGGCCGTAGTTTAGAGCCCTGTAGCTTTCTAACTTGTGAGCATTTCCTCTGTGGGTTTTGGTGTGCATGCTTATTTTTCTGTGTACTTTTGTAGAGGGTTAGCAGCCCATCATCTCATTCTCCAGCCTAGTTAACGAGGTTAACATGCGACCAGAATGTATTTTACCACCTACCAACACCCCTACTAGTCCCGACTAAAAACAACTTCACTGTCTCTCATCTCACCATCTTTGTTCAGAGGTCAACTTTACGGTCTTCAACTGAGGGTTATCTCCAGAGTTATCTGAGCCAACATGTCTCCACTTGACCCCAGTCTATATCTTTACCATGGCACTCCTTGACTATGTTCATTACCTCTCACACACACACACACACACACACACACACACATCATGGAAGGCTAGTGAATTACTGACACAACAACAGGCTATTTATAGCCCTCAATGTGACATGGCATGGGGCTATCACAACCTGCCAAGAGAGAGAGAGAGCGAGAGAGCACATTCAGAGCAACCACATGCCTGCCTACTTTTCAGGAGTCTGTTATGGCGAGTTTCACATTGTCAGGAAACTTGGACTTGGATATTGAATCTAATCCCCATGCTTATGTTTGGTTGACCACAGCTGTTTCATTTCCTAGAATTCCTAGAAATACCCCTCGGAAAATTATATTATCCTGCTGAAATGTCTTACTGAAATAGAGAGTCTGGAAATGGGTGGCTAATCTGAATAGGCTCTCTAGCTCGGAGTAGTGTGGTGTGTTTGACTGAGGACTCTGCATCTATGTGTCAGATATAGTGAGTCATTTGCTGTTCCGGAAGTGACTGTACCTATTTTAGTATTAAGGTCTTTGCTGAAGTTGCTTGCGTGCATGTATGAATGAGAGAGAGCGAGAGGTCTGACACACCCCTTCTGTCTTTTGTGTGTGCGCATGTGTGTTTACTAAGCACCCACGGCAGAGTACTGTAGGCTGGTGTGGGCTCTGTCTTGGTCTGCTCTGTCAGAACAGGAATATGAATGTCATCTCCCCAGATCTACACACTGGTTATTATGTAGAGGGGGTGTTTTTAATCAGGTAGCATATTAAAGTTAATACACTCTTCTATCCAAACACACACAGCCAGGCCTTCGCAGCCTGATAATGATTAAACTGCTCCTGACACAGGAAGACATGATGATTACAGCCTGATGCAATACACTAAGGAGGTAGGGAGGCAGGGAGGGACACTCACAGGCAATTAGATGAAATGTTAATATGGATTTAGGAAGACGTTTCAGGTGCTTCATTACATTACTTCTATTGGTCATGGTTGACGTTATGAAATGGATGGACGTGCTTGACTTTTCATCACGAAACAAAATGACTCATCCCAATGCACAGAGCCATACAGTAGGCGGATGTGTCGTGTGTGTGTGTGCTGATTGAGACTCGCTGACTAGGGAGCTGTGTTCATGTTTCTGAGGCAGTAATAAGGGTAGAGGGTTCCACACAGGTCCTGTAGAAGCATCAGGTCTGCTACAAAATGACCTTTAATGGAGGGGGGGGGTTCTCATCTTCCACTGTCATTTAAACAGGGGAAACCAGAAGCGGTCTGAAAATGTCTCTTAGGTTTCCCCTTACCTCACCTTGCCAACGTGTGTTTACATTAGTACTTTGCCTCTTCCTTCCTCTCCTCTCTTCTGCGGGTTAGTCATGCAGGGAGGGGGAGGGGTGACACCCTGACGTACAGCAGACCCCAGGTGCCTGTCTGCCACTTCCCACTTCTCGGATGCGTTGGTTGGCATAGTAACAGGTAACCAGAGCCCTCTGGGAGTGTGTTTTGCGCCAGGTCACATGGTTAAACGGGGAATGATTGCTCACAGGTGGCCAGGCCAGGGGTTCCATAGCATACACAGACTAAACCAACTAAAGTCTATACACACAATAATACTGGAGCACAGGGATTTACCCTTTATATATGTTGCCCACTCCATTCTTGTTATAAAATGTAGCAGAAACTGATCCCCAGTTTCCCATCCATTCCTCTCCTCATAGGTTACTCTGCTCCATCCCCATCACTCCTCTGAATGACTAGAGGTGTCCAGAGCCCCAGTGGCTGGTGTTCTGTCTCTCTCTCACTATCAATCAGGGCATGCCTTTGTACCCGGAGAGAGAGAGAGAGCCTTGTTATTGTCACCACAGCAGCACCGCAGAGAGAGAGTCAACAACCACCGAGCGAGCATGGGCCACAGAGGAAAGAGTGTAGTTTGCATTTCAGCGGAGAAATCAAGCATGCAGATGATTTGCATGAGGCTAATTATACAGTATTAGAGACAGGACAAAATAATCTCTTCCCTGCCTTGTCACTGATACAATTAAGGGACTCGTTCTTCTTCTGGGCTTTGTTGGGTTGTTTCCAGACAATTTGGCAAATTGCAATTGGCAATGATGAGTTGTTTCATACATGACTCCCGAGTGGCGCAGTGGTCTAAGGCACTGCATCGCAGTGCTAGCTGTGCCACTAGAGATCCTGGTTCGAGTCCAGGCACTGTCTCAGCCGGCCGCAACCGGGAGACCCTTGGGCGGCGCACAATTGGTCCAAGGTAGGGGAGGGTTTGGCCGGCAGGGATGTGGGTTCGTTTC